AACAAATATATTCATATATATTGTCTTGATTAAAGAACCAATTCTTACAATATAAAGTGATTTATGAAAATATAATAATTATTTCATCTAGTTCCTGTCTGGCAGATAATGAATATCTTCGTTGTGCTTGTTATTTCTTTACATTGTGCGACTGTAAATAATTCTTTTTAGGTTCGGAGGCATGGTACGCTCCCCCTGAGACTGACAAAGAAACTCTTGTTATTGATAAAGAAAAACATGTACGTTTATACAACATCGTCGACGACGAGACCGAATCAAATGATCTATCAAATTCGATGCCCGACAAAGTGTTGGAATGTCTGGAGAAATTAAAAGAATATTTCGATAGTGTTTCGATACCGTTTCCCGATAGAAATCAGTGGAGTGAAAATGAATTGGAGAAAGCCGTCTATAACCACGAACTAGCACCTTGGGGACCAGCAAACACTGATATTTAATTACATAGACCGCGGACGTTAGGTTTCTCTGTGTGTCAGAGTATTTTTTTTATTTCTGGAGGTCGGAATACGCTGACATATCAGGACATTCATCCCAGAATACATCCTTACCCCACGTAAAATTTCAGTCAAACCTACCTAATAATATATAATAATTTAATGTTCTTCTGTATACACACCATCTTCCAATCTTTGGGAGAATGGGAGAATAAATTTACTGACAATAGAATAAACTCGTGCTATTTAGCATTACATGTCGTACAGTGCACAGTGCTAGCTATGACGTATGCTATTGGTTATTTTTATACACCTGTCACCGTTACGCCATAAGTTACAACGTACAACGCGCTTTTTATGGGGTATTTTCATCGTACTATATAAGGAAATGCAAATTCCAAATATGGAATGACAAATATGGAATGATTACGCGCGTAAGCGTCCTCTAATAGTAAAAACAAACATGGCTGCCATCAGGGTTTGACCGGACTCCACACATAGAAGTTTGCTGATTCCGGCATTCCCAAAATGTATAATAATAAGGTTATTACGAGGATACCTCAATGTATGCATTGAGACAGTACGCCCCGCTAGAAAAAGATACCCATTGAAAAGGCTTATTGTTCGAATAAATTTCAACATAATGAATTATCACCTGTGCAAATAGAACTAGTGTCCAACCACTCACCTTGAAGCCGACACGATTGTGTTGTACATTCGTATAAATACTGTAGCTGTAGCTGTACTGTCCTGTAACTAGGAAAATCAAATTAGATATTGATCACAAGATCTGTCCCGGATGTTCCCGATAAACGTACATTCCGCAGCCATACTAAGATATGTCCTGTCACGTTATGAACCTGAACATCACTAGATTGAGTGATGATATCACCATATCATGCTCATGCTCGCCTTCTTCATGTACGCCCATCGTATGTATACAGCTATATAGAAAAAACGCATAAACGTTAACGTTACACAATAATCTAGCATTAATTCAAAATCGAAAATTGTCACGATAACTCGAATAAATTGAAACCAAAAATAACCATGTGTTTTAATGAGATATGTCAGTTTCACAAAGCCAAAACAGCGATCATATTTAAGCCGATAATACAGATGGAAGTTCTCTGGGGATGCGAATAATGAACGTATCAATTCATGTGCATGTTTACCTAAAATGTGTAATTACCATATTTTTTTTATTTTTTTTAATTGGACGAGCATTGATGTCACGAAAGATTTTTTCAGAATGTATGATTTTTATCGTAGAGGGTGCTCACACATGCGCTAATAAATACACGTCATTTTGAAAATTAACGGCGTTTATTACACAAAAGTAGGGTAAAACTAGATCAGTTACATGGAATATACATTTTTTTGAGTAAATAATAAAATAATAATGGATTAAAATACTGAGTAATATAAGAATAATATTGATAAGAGTAATATTATTAATAATAATAGCATGAAATTTTAAAATGGTTGAAATACATAGAGTATACATTTTTAAACGCGGTTAAATATTCACACTAAGTAATATAAGAAAACATTTGTTCTAACGTGATAAAGTTTTAATTATAATAAAACAAGTCGAACATTTTTTTTCTAATCAGAATCGCTCATCTGTGATAAAAAGAAAAGGAGAAATAATATGAAATCGATAGTTATATAAAGAGGGTATAAGTTATATATATACATGTGAAATTTCAAAAGTATAAGTCACCTAGTAAAACTGCGTGGGAAAAAATATTTGTCATAAATAGGGAGGTTGAGTCCAGTAAAGTGTTCGATATATCTGTTCACATAAATGTCATTCAAATGTCTATCACGCGCGAAAGAGTCGGCTACGGACTTCATAGATTTCCCTCGACATCTGCGCAGCAAGTAATACAGGACGTATTGACCACACACTGTAGTTTTTTATCGCAAAATCTATTAAATTGCATGTAATAAAGTTGACTACTATACAAGTCAGAATATTTACCGTGGTAGGGTTCCTCAGATAAAAAGCCACTCAATGCGCCTGCTTGCTACTGTTATCTGTGTTACGAACGCTGCTGGATGCTCCAACACTTTTGCCTTAGGCAGTTGATCTCTAGCATAAACGCCGAAGAACACATTTCTAGTGTACGGATTAGTGGCTTTGCAAGAACTTGCTCGCCTCTAACGTTGAGAACGAGTGATGTGACATTGTAATTCTGGAAGTTGAATGGATTGGTTTCGTCGGATCCGTTGAAAGACGCATTTGAAACCAGACACAGAATGATCCTTTTGGCAACTGACCGAGGAATATCAAATGTTTGTTTCATGACATTGTACCAGCCGGGATGGAAGCGATTTTCATAACGCATCGATCGATGGGGTATTTTGCAGTACACTCTTTCAACGCTTTGATGTGACACAGTTGTACGCTGGGGCTCAACTTGACTTTTCTCACCAGGAGAGTAGTGTCGGTGATGACTACATTGAGTGCAGGATTTTCGGTTGAACTGATCAAGTAGAACTGATTTTAACTGATGTAATTTCAGTCTAACGTCCACCCCATCAAGTAATTACTTGAAAAAATATGTCTCCGTGTATTCATCTGATCATGTACACCGTTTTACTGAGCGATGTATATGTGTATCAACGTTTGAATCCCATGTTAGCATCACCATCATCAGCCCTCGAGTTTGCGGCAATCATTTTTCCTGCATTGATTTGGCTTCCCAGCCATATTTCAATAGTGTTTCGATCATGGCTCTGTAAGAATAGGTGGAAGATGCATCTGCAGCCAAATTACCTACGTTGGCATTCGTGATTTCAGCCTTGATGTGCAAAAGCGTAGAACCAATATCGATATAGTCAGTTCCGGCCGAAGGTACTACGAATTCGATGAAATCATCGCCTATATTCGTGAGTGGGTTTACGACTTTGTAATATCTTGTTCGTTACTTGGAAGAATAGTAAAGAGATCGAGTTCCGTCTTTGCACATTCGCAGGAGTGTTCATGTACAAAAGCCATGATGTTCAGTTGAATATATCTATATCAAGAGATCTTCTCTTTTTAGCCTTGGAAGAAATGACACGTCTCGTTGTTTTCTTCTTTCTTTTGATGATGCGTCCTCACCACGTTTGAGAGGGTATTCCAAACAAATTGCTCAATACTGAAGAAGTAATTTGACGGCCCGCAGTCTTTGCTCTACTCAAAGCCGCTTTTTTCAAGGTGTTTCCCTTGTACAACGTCACCTAGAATACCCAAACCGGCATCGAGCACTGGTTTTGCAACTGCTTTCAGACATAGTGTTAATAGAGGTGTGGTCGATCTTCCCAATCCAGAAAACATACTTCCGATACCAAGTCCGCATTGAAATGGCACCATTTCCCCTGTATCAGAACTTAGATTAATCTTCGCAGTCTCGAATGTCGACGTTCGAATCGAGAGAAAGTACGGTTTGTTGTGAGTGTGATTGGCGCTATCTCCGTGGGTTCCTTCAACGTTTGTAATTGTTATAGTTCAGCCAATCCATCCATCAAGATTACACGAGCTCCTTCTTCGACCGCTACGGTCACTCTCATTGACCTCGAATTATATGTCATCTGTATTTCATCTGGCAGATCTTTTTCTCGAATTCTGTCTAAAATCATTTTGATCAAGTTGTAGTAGCCTGGATACAATTTCAGTTCTCCTGATCTCTCAGATTGGGTGAGGCATCATAAAAGAACTTATTTTCGTCATGTACGACGTTGTACAACGGATTTGGGTAGTGGATGTTGGCCAACGCTACTTCCCAATTGCCATCTAACGAAAGCGTTCTCGGTAGTTTGACAGTGTATTTTGTCAACGTGTTGTTTGGGAACACATCGAGTGAGGCATTACTAGCGTCAAAAAGAAATCCTGTACGACATGATGAACTTTGAAATGAATCGGGTCATGTGTGTGTGAACCGTATTTATAAACATTGCAAGTCCCCGATCCAATAATTAAATGAATCATCATACCCACGCCACTTAACGAAATATTCCACTCGGCCTTTATATTTTCTGAAGTTCTGCTTCGTAGAAAGTACCTTCCAACATTTCACCATTGTAATCTTTGAAAACAGATAGTTGTGTGTTGAGGAGTCAACATCGTGAATACCTCTTCAGTCCAATTAGGCAAGTATCCCTTCTTGAAAACGTGTTTGGTTTTACTGATTCTGACTCTGTCATGGAGTTTATAAATCTTCTTCTTCCTCCCCTTTTTTCTCTGTGCTTAGATCACCATACAATATGACTCTGATTTGCGTGGGTAATGAGTAAGGGTTTGGTATTTATACTTCTGTTATGGGTATTGTTGTAAGTACGTATCATGTCGTCTAATACAGGCAGATAAGTCAATGTGTTGTTCTTCGTGAAATATATGAACATTTTTCCCTTGATGGTTCTGTTGTACCTCTCCATAACACTGGCTTTAGTCTCATTGCATGTAGTGAAGAACTTAATATCTTTGCTCTTGAGGTAGTTCTGAAAAAGTCTGTTGGTGAATTCAGTTCCTCTGTCCGTGTGCAAAACGTCGGGGAGACACCCCTTCTCGAGTATTTTCCGAAATGACTCGACCAAACTCGCCTCTCTCTTGTCTTCCAGAGGTACAACAAAAGCATATTTCGAAAAAAACGTTGATACATGTCAATAAGAACTTGAATCCTCTGTTGTATCTGGATATCATGGAGAGATCGCATATATCGGCCTTCCACTGCTCATCAACTTGGAAAACCACCACCCGCCTTCTTTTAAAGGACCATCTCCAACCTGTGGGGTGAAATTCTTCCTTTTACGCAAGACATCATTGACCAAATCGATGGCGTTGTAATTCACCGTTTTCAGCCCACTTGACCAGTTGGTCATGTTTAACTTTCTGAAGTAGGAACTTTGCTTTTCTCTGCATGCTCGTGGGAACATTTGTAAGACTTCAGATGTAATTTCATCTGGCACATCGTCTTTGTTGGGTTGAGATTCCCGATCGGCTACAGCAGCAGCGC